CCCGGCAGTCTGGGGGACAGTAGGGCCCTTTGCGGGGAAATTGCGGTGGCATCGGGCTGCAGGGGGTTGAAGGACAGAGCTGGCGGCAGCAGCGGCTGCTCCCTGATGCCTGCGAGGGGGACAGTGCCGGGTTCTGGGGCGTGCCTGGCTGTGCCCTCATGAAAAGCCTCATCAAGGGGCTTTGGGTTATAAAGGTGCTCTCACGAGGCTGTCACCCGGCCAGTAACTGCGGCACCACCTTTTTGTCTGCGGGGACAGCGGGGACCTCCTGCCTGCGTGTACCTGTTGTCCACGTCACGGCCACGTGGGTGGCGTTGCTCAGAAGCTCTCTGCCAGCCCCACGGGCGTTAAATTCACTTTGATTTAAACCCACCAGCTGAAGGTTTCCCTTTCCACCAGAGAATCCCTCGCAGGCACAGACCCGAGGGAGGTGATGCTTTGTGGGGACCAGGGGGCCACCTGGCAGGGAAGGGGGCTCTGGAGGGGACCCCTTTTGCCCAGACTGCTCCTGGTGGCACAGGACAAGCGGGTGGTTGATAAGCACAGAGAACATGCTGAAGAAAGCAGGTTTTCACTGCATTTCGTTGCCTAGCCACGCTTTTTCTCAAAAATGAGATGGGATGAGCCAAAGTTGAAGCTGTCTGCTATTACTGATGTGGCATGTTTCCATTTATGCCTTGTTCCCTGCAGCACAGGATCAATAATGGCTTTGTGTCTTAGGCCTTTGTTGAATTTCAGACTCTGTGCAGCTCGGAACAGGTCACCACTGTTACCAAGAAGACGTTTCAGCAATACCCGTGACAGAGAGCCCAGCCATGTCATTTTATTACCACGGTCCGCTCCTGTGGAGAAATGTGAGGAGTATAAGAGCCTTACACATGTGCTTGTGGGGTAGGATGAAGATCTGGATGCCTTCAAAAATGTCCCTTTGCAGAGACGAGACTGGGTTGCTGGACACAGTCCCTGGTGGATCCTGTGTTCCCCAAAGCTGCCATTGGTGTGATCGCTGCGACACCACCTACTGCGTTAACAGTTTTTCGCATACTGATGTGTGGAAGAAACCCGTCCACATTAATGATTTCCTGACATCAGCTCTTGAAAGCTTTTGTAGCAGCTTCAAACACAGGTCTGGGAAAAATTAATTTCCCTAGTGTTAAGGTTGAGTATTGTCCTGGTTTCGGCTGGGATAGAGTTAATTTTCCTCTCAGTAGCTGTTGTGTTTTGGATTTAGTACCAGAAGAATGTTGATAACACTGATGTTTTTAGTTATTGCTGTGAAATCAAGGACTTTTTCCAGTTTCTCATATTCAGCTGATCAGCAGGAGCTGGGAGGGAGCACGGCCAGACAGGTAGCCAAGCTGGCCAACGGAAATATTCCATACCATAGATGTCATGCTCAGTCTATAAATGGGGGTTGGCCAGGGGCAGGGAGCTATTGGTTCTTCTCTTTTCCATGACTTCCAATCCTCTCTTGTCTGGGAGTTCGAACCTCTCTGGGACTTCGTTTTCTTTCATAAGTTTTGTGAAATTTGCAAAATTCATGAGTGCGGCATTCCGCTTTCACTGCTCAGGGGCTGACTGCGAATCATTCGCTGGGTGTTGAGAAAATTGTGTTGTATATAGTTTGGTTTGAGTATTCATTATTATCATTATCATTAGTATTAGTATTTCCTTTGTTGTCTTATCGAACTGTCTTTGTCTCAGCCCACGAGTTTCCCCTTTTGTCCGTTTCTCCTCCCCACCACCCTTGGGGGGAAGGGGAGGGGTGAGCGAGTGGCTGTCCGGTGCTTATTTGCCAGTTACGGGGTTAAACTGTGGCAATTATGTTGACTCTAAATGCAGATCTGACCACTGAAATTCTGGCATTTACAGCCTTGCGAACTGCAGCTGTGCTCTCGTTGGACTGGCAGGGATAGGAGGCGTGCTTTTAGGCAGTGGTGTTCCTAGTGTGGAGGTAGTTTTTCAACAATCGTGCAGTATTCTGTTTTTTCCAAGGATATTTGTATTCCCTTAAGAGCTGGCTATAAAAGGGGCTCTCTGTCATTTTTTAGCAGGAAAGACACAGTATTTTTCTCCGTCAATAGCAATTTGATCTAGTAGCTATCTTAGCTCAGTCGTTAGCCAAGAAATGCGTCAAAGCATCCCATTTCTAGTCAGAGACCAGGTCCTAGCTCGGCCTCGTTTAACAATTTTCTGATGTCGTTCTTGAAAGTGACCTTCTCTTAAAATGGAACAGAAAAACCAGCATTTTGCAGATCAAAACCTGAACAGTCCTGAAGTTCTCTTTCCTCCTTGTTCTTACTGTCCATTTCACCCCAAATCATTCTGACTTCTGTATGTTACAGGGAACTATCTGGAATGCTCTGCTGCGCTGGCTGGTGGGACGGGAAGGAGCAGCAGGATCAGGTGTGAACGCCAGAAACCTTGGCCCTCTCCTGCCTCTGCTAATGAGCAGCTCCAGATGACTTCCCTGATCCTTGTCCAGGCTCATATCCTAGCAAACACTGCTCTTCTGGCCTGGGCCACCCCTGACCCCGCCTGTGAAGGTCCAGGAGATCTGGGCATGGGTGTGGGGCTGAAAGCTGTGCTGTTAGTGCTGCCCAAAGAGCTGTTACCGTTAATTTAAAATTCACGGTGCTTATCTTTGAACAGGAGGCTGTAACCTTGGGGCTTCTTTCCTCAGGGTCACCTCTTCCTTGCCAGAGCTTTGGGCTGATGTGTTTAAAGAAACAGAGGGTCCTACAGAGCCCCAGGCCGAGCAAAACACTTCAGCCCTCTGTCTGTCTGCCTCTCCCCAGTAAAACACAATGTGGGCTCTTCATAGCGGGCCCCGGGAGAAAAGCCAGTGTATTTCTTTGTCTCTCTGGTCTGTGTGGCACCAGGCTCTGCCAGACCACGGGACAAAGGGCGGTCATTGAACTGGGAGAAAAAAGTAATGAAAGCAGAGGAATTTGGGTGGGAGGGGAAGAAGCTGCTTCTGCCCCCGCGGGGCTGTGCTCGCAGCCCCAGCGCACAGAGCGGCATTGCAGAAGGCAGGTTCCCCGGCTCTGTGCCACGGCTGCCGTGTCCGTTTCTGAACCCACAAACATGGCAGCAGGAGACAAGCTGGGGTCCTCGTGGGCAGCCTTGGATGACGTCTAGAAGCAGAAACACCAGGACACGTCCAGAAACTGGGCTGGTGTTTGCTGAAGTCGTTGGAGGGTGATGATGGACCCGATTTCGTGCCCTGCGCATAGGCCCAAGGGGTTGTGTACGCCCCGGGAGGGACCTGCTGGGCCGTGCGCCGTCTCTGTCGGCCCTGTGCAAATGTGGCCTCTGCCCGAAGATGAGGAGGCACTGAGCAGGCTCCGTGGGATGAGCAGTGGGCTTTTATACCCCCACAGAACAGGCTCACAAGGTTTGGATGGTGTCCCCCTCTCGAGAACCACAGGCAAGGGTAGCTTTACATCCACCTTCCTCTCAGAAATTCTGGGCTCTGGCTAACTGCCATTTCCCCCGGTCCCTTCGTTCCCCCACTGTCCTCCCAGAATGACCAAGCGCGAGGGTTGCAGAGGAGCAGCTCTGGACCTTGCTGCTGGCCCACCAGGTGCCATCATCTTGGCAGTTTTTGTGACCCCTTAAAACACCGACTTGGACTACTGCCACTGCAGCAAATTCTCCGGAGTTGAAAGCACTGGGATGTTCTTACCTTGTCTGGGACATGGCCTTGAACTGCTTAGGTCAGTTGCTGGCTGGATTCAGCTGAAACAACAAGAGGCTACTCTTCAGTTCGTTGAAAAGACATATGAAGATGTTCTTCATAAAACATGCAAGAGAAGGCACTACAGCATCGATCTGGAGCATCCCTCCAGCCCCAGGAACTGACAGCAGCCCGGGTGGGAGAGGGCTGCAGGCTGGCTGGTGGAGCGGGGTGCTGAGGGCTCACACCCAGTGCTGCCCGGAGCCAAGTTACCTTGACAGGGACAGAGGAAAACGCGGGGTTTTTTTTAGATGCTTCTAAACCACCTGTGTTTCTGCTTAAAATATTTCTGACCATTTCGGTTCTATCTTCTCCCAAAACAGAGGTGGCCACGTTTAGACTGTGTTTGTAAGAGCCCTTTGATCACGTCCCTTTGAACACGAACTAGCTGATACCCCGTGGGTTTGAAGTGCCTTTGCAGTGTTTGCTCCAGCAGCACACCAGCGAGCAGCTGGCGGGTGAGCCCGTGCGCACTGAGCCTCGTGTCCCGGCCGGCAGTAAAAGGGGCCAAAAGTTTCATAGCTAAAATGGAATTTCTAAGGCAGGCAGGTTGTATGGAGACAGAAAGTCAAGTGGTTCCCCTTCCGTCACTGCCTTTAGGCAAACATTACCGTAAATTAACTGGAAATTAGCTGAAGGTTTTGGAATCTGCGAGGAATTGGAGATGCTGACATGAAGCTCGTCTCGGGCAGATGCGTTGTGACAGTTTGTTTTTATCTTCAACCAGAAACAACGGGCTGTTAAGCCCCAAGTCCGACACCCGTACCAGTGAACTTCTGCAGTTCCCTTTGTCCCTTTGAACTGTGCAGGAGGAGCAGCACAGCTCTCTCTAGTGAGGAGCCGTGGTACCGGTCTCGGAATGTAACTTTATTATATACATCTCGTAATATAACTGGTAATACAACTATTAGTCTCGAGAACAGGAGATGTTATGTTCATGCCGTGACACTCCCCAGGAGGGCTTCATTACTTGTTTGGAAAAAATTCTGCTGTAACCGATCACAGCCAGGGCTGAACCTGTGTGCAGCCTAAGCCCAGTTTATGAAATAAATGCCAAATTAATTCTGTAATTCCCACACAAAATGACTGTATCCCCTCCAGCTAATCCCTGAGGCTATGCTGGGCGTGAGCGAAGAGCCGTTTGCTGGCGCGGGAGCGTTTCGAATTCCGCTTGCGGTGCGTGAAGAGCAAAGCACTGATCACAGGCGAGCTGTCTGTGCGGGGGTGCTGCTGGGTGCCCCCTTTGCGAGGGGCCCTGCGGTCCCCTCGGGCAGCAGAGGGCGCTGAGCGGGGCGGGGGGTGGTCGGCGGGG